ACGTCAGGCCTTGACTGCTATTTCAACTCTCTGTATTTTCAAAGCCTTTGAGATGGCCAGGTTCAAATTATGGCCAAAGCACCCAAGCCACACTTCTGAAAACTCTTCAAAAGCCTTTATCATGTTTGTTGCATTGTCTGTGGTTACGCAGACCAGGTCTTTTTTGTTGATCCCCCATTCTTCAAGCATGTTATCAAAAAACTCGCTGATGTTTTGAGCTGAGTGATCTTCTGGGAAGAATTGAGTTTCAAGGCAGTTTGATAACAGTTGCCAGTCTGGGGTGAGGTAATGAATAGTGACGCTTATGTAGGGTTGACCACCACCGCTTTCACTAGTCCAGAGGTCAGTAGTTGCAGCAAACCATGTTCCTTGAGCTATTTTTTTTTTTTAAAACAGCAGCTTTGACCTGGTTGTACAGATTTGGTATTTCAGTTTTGGAAAAATACTTCCGTGATGGCACTTTGTAGTGTGGTACAGCAACTTTCATCAGCCTCAGAAAACCAGGCCTCTCCACAATTTGAAATGGCATCATGTCCTTTGCAATGAAATATGAAATAGCTGCAGTGAGGTCTCGTGCATTTTTTGATGTGGGTGCATAAGCAGTCTGCCTTTTAAATGCTTGTTCGAGTGTCTGCGTTACAGCTGTGGATGAGGAGGGAGTTGAGGTACCAGAAGCATCACTAGGTTTGCCTGATGCACGCCCACTCTGTAAACAAAGGAAAAACAAATGTATTATTATCATTAATAATCATAATAATATTCACTCACTAAATAAATCACTTTCTCTTTTTCTCTTTCTCTTTCTCTCTCTCTCTCTCTCTCTCTCTCTCTCTCTCTCTCTCTCTGACACACACACACACACACTTTAAATGAACAAAACATGTTGTTAGGGTCTTGGTGACTAAACTACTGGAATACTTATAATGACTGTTGTCAATAGCAACGCATTATAACAGCGCACATCCGTGTCTCAGATCAACGATCTTTGGTTTCATTCAAATGTGTATGTCTTGCGTCTCAAAATTAAATCAAGAGTAATTTGGTATAATATTGTTGTAGTGATCACATTTTCTTGACGATTGTTTTGGACATTGTAAGTGTAATTTGTATAATGGATTCATAAACCGGTAAGATTTAAAAACATTCAGTTAATCACAATTCAACATTTCATTTTATTTCTGTGGTAAGAATAAATAAAAAATTAAACTGTGTAATAAGTTTACTATGAATTAATACAATACACTATCACTTAAATTCGTCTTGGGTCAAATCAACTTCTGTAAAACTTTTCTCTTCGCGGAAGCTTTGCAATAATTACAAGTGAGATAATGAAATAATTAATCTCCAATCAATATTTTTTATCCAATTATTTGCCCAAGTCAGATGTGGTATTGAAGTAAAAGTTAGCTTACCTTGCATTCGCTATATAACAGTGGGTGGTGGTCACGTAGATGACTTAACAGATTTGATGTGTTTCCTCCTTTTGCAGAGACTTTCCTCTTGCAAGATTTGCAGACAGGGTGCCCATCCTCGATTAAATTGCCCTCGGGACTCTTGTAATAGCCAAAATACGACCACACCTCCGATTTTGTCCTCTTGGATGGCTGAAAAATCTCCCGATCACTGACACCGCCTTCCGCCATGTCTTCTCGTTCTCGCACGACGTTGCATGCGCGTGCCTGCTTGCGGCTGCGTCAGACTGATTCTGGCTGGACGGGAATTACCGCGAGTTTTCAACATCACGATAATCAAACACGGTTTTTATGATAATTCATTTTTAAACGATAATACTAACCGCCAGGACGTTTTATCGTGGTTTATCGTGAAACCGGTAATCGTCCCATCCCTAGTCACAGCTGATGACAATTCAAGTCTTGGGATGGTCGTTAGCTTGGTAGGGGCTACTCTTGCTTTTCCCATGACGAGTGAACAACTGATCTGTCCTGCTTCGCTTATGGCTCGGAGATAAGAACATGCACCGTATCCATTGAGACTTGCATCTGCAAAGTTGTGTAGCTCATAACGTATGACTGAGTCAAAATGTGATGGAAGGTAACTTCTTGCAATGTTCAGTGCTGCCAAGTGTGGCAAATCCTTAAGCCATAACTCCCATTTTGGCAAAATGTGCTCGGGGAGATCTTCATCCCAGCCTACCTTTTCTCTACATAGCTCTTGCAGGATCTGTTTGCTGACTAAAATGAAGGGGGCTACAAACCCTAACGGATCGTAGACAGAGGCGACTGTAGAGAAAACTCCTCTTCTTGTCAGTGGACTCTCTTTAACCACGACTCTGAACTTGAATTCATCAATTTCAATGCACCACTGAACTCCAAGTGCTCGCTCAATGTGAAATTCTCCTAGGGCCATATCTTGATCTTTGGTCTGTGCACATTCTTCTGGTGGTATTGTGGCAGTCACTTCCTTTTTATTGGACACAAACTTGTGTAGCCGAAGATTTCCTGTTCTGCACAAGGCTCTAGACTCTTCCACCAGGTGAACAGTTTCATCGATTGTTTTTACGCTTATTAAGTCATCGTCAACATAGAAGCTTCTTTGGATGAACTTGATGGACTCATCGCTGACCTTTCCATGACCCTGAGATGCCAGATGTTTGAGTCCAAAGTTGGAGCAGCCAGGGGACGATGCTGCTCCAAACAGGTGCACCTTCATGCTGTACACTGAGAGTTTCGAGTCCAGATCGCCTTTGTCCCACCAGAAGAACCTTTAAGTAGTCTTGGCGTTCCTTTGCAACATGAGATTGATGAAACATTCTTTCAATGTCGCACATAATGGCTATTGGACCCTTTCTAAATCGACATAGTACTCCGACTAATGTGTTGGTCAGATCTGGCCCTGTCAGAAGATGATCATTTAGAGAGGTTTCTTGGAAACGTGCTGAACAGTCGAAAACTACACGGATCTTGCCAGGTTTGTTTCGCCCCCAAAAGCGAACCTCAGGAACCTCCTGTGACTTGGAAGGATGGATATGTGAGAGTATGCGTCCTTCAGATCTATGAAATCAGTGTGGCCCGAAGCGTACTGGACGGCGGGGACACCGCACTGATTCCCCGAGAGCTCCGAGGGGAAGGCGACCTCGATCGCTTCGCCCCGGGGGGGACAGCTCTCAGCGGTCCGGCCGCAACTAGGACCGCTTGGTGGAAGCCTTCTTTGTCTGCAGGACGGTTCTCAAATCGACCTTAGGCTCAGAAGGCTTACCATGTGAGCGCCGTCTCCTTTGCCAGGCTCCCTCAGGAGGGGCGCGGGAGGCGACACTCTCCTTCTGTACATGATGGTGCGAGGAGCTGGGAGGCGGCCGAGGCTGCCCTTTGGAAGCAGCCTTCCTCGAGGAGCCAGAACGGCGAGGAAGGTACTGATGGAAGGCCGCCGACTGTTTTTCCACCTCCTGGAATCTCCCAACGATGGTATCAACCGCGCCGCCAAAGAGGCCAGAAGGTGAAACTGGGGAGTCTAGTAGAAAATGTTTCTCTCTCTCCTTCATCCCCAACAAATTCAGCCATAAATGTCTCTCCACACGCACCAAACCAGCCATGGAGCGGCCGATGGCACGGGCCGCCTCCTTGGCGATGCGGAGAGACAGGTCGGTGGCCTTCCTCAGCTCCGTGATGTCACTTGGAGAAGGACCCTCACCCTCATCCAGCTCCTTGAGCATGTAGGCCTGCAACACTGCCATAGTGTGCAGGCAGCTACCAGCCCGCCCAGCCGCCATGTAAGCCCTGCCCACCAGCGCGGATGTATCACGGCATGGTTTAGTGGGCAGTACCGGGGCCTTAAGGGACGATGTGGCCTCGGGTGAAAGATAGCTCTCGAGAGCCTCCTCCACCCGAGGCAATGTCCCATAACCAGACTCAGCCGCCCCCTGCACATTAGCAAAATCAAGCACTGGGGGGTTGGAGAGCCTGGCTGAATAAGGCTTCACCCATGACTTGCATAACTCATTATGCAAGTCATGGAAAAATGGAAGGAGTTTGAGACTTACGTTTATAATATCGTTCATCCAGCTTGCTTGGTGGCTTAATTTTTACTTCCTCTTGTGGCCAATCAATTTTTAATTTTGCCACAGCACGTGTCAAAACCTCCACTAACTCCTCTTGACCAGGTGCCTGAAGTGGTTGAACAGTCTCCACATCACACACCTCAATGCTTGAATTATCTGACTCCTCAGAGCCAGATAAATGCAGCATTGTGTCCCCCACCTCGTGGGAAGAGGCCGTTTCACGGGCTTCCACTCGGGGCGGGAGAGCATCTGAATCCTCAGACGAGGACTGGGAAGATGCCGAAGCAGTCCCGTGCCCCGCTGAGAGATCCATTCGTGAGCCCCACGATCTGCGGCGTCGCGTTGCCTCGGCAACCGCGGGCCCAGAACCGCGAGGCTCGCGAGCATGGCCGCTTGACTCGTCAAACACAGCCAGCCGCGAGCGCAACGTTCTAACCGGCAGCTTCTCACACTCGCTACAAGCGTGCTGCACGGCCAAACAATGCACACACAGCTGGTGTGTGTCCGTGCCCGAAATATAGCGCGGACACGGATGCACACACTGTCTAAAATGCTCGCTAGACATGCTTTCTTGAGATAATGACAAACGACAGTAAATAGGACAAGTCAAGTCAAGTCACATTTATTTATATAGCGCTTTTCACAATACAGATTGTATCAAAGCAGCTTCACACTGATAACATGAAAGTAGCACAACACAGATCAACAACATTGCTAAACACTAAATAATCCCAACTGAGCAAGCTCAAAGCAGCCAAAAGCAAGGCGACAGTGGCAAGGAACCAAACTCCATCTGATTGGATGGAGAAAAAACCTTGGGAGAACCCAGGCTCAGTCGGGGGCCAGTTCTCCTCTGGCTTACATTCATATTGTTTAAATATAAATATTAAATATAAATATTGTTTATGAATAAAACGGCGCCATTCATAAAATTTGGCCACAAACAATTCACACAGAGCGCTTAGCTGAAGAGCAAAAAAGCTGGTGTTGTTTGTGTCAGCGTCCCCTTTGTATCTTCCGGTTATGCCGTCATTTACTACGTCGTGACGCAGCACCAATCAGGATCGGACAGATTTCATTCATGCTTCAGACGCGCTACGCTGGGGCATTCCCCAAAGTGTCATAATGATGACGCAGTGCGAGTTTCCTCGAAGGGGAACTCAAAATGATGCAGCATAGAGTCCATTTTGTTGTCCATGCTGCGCACAACATCGCCCAAACTCTCCAAGACGTCTGCACCTACAGGGGTTCCCAGAATAAAAGAATAAAGTAGTCAGTCCGGGTCCCTCAACTACTAAACTATGACAGTTATATCTAGGTCTACTACATGTACAGATGGGCCCCGTTGGGAATTAAACCAACAACCAACGCTTAAGTTGTTTGCAAGTTGTACCTGATTGCCCAGTGTGAGCAAACATCTTCAACATTATCCCAACTTGCTTCACCTGCTCTTGAAGTGAGCCGCTGTCATCTGACGCTATAAAATGAAAGGCATATGGTAATTTTGGACCTACATCACACACAAAAAAGTTAAATTCAAGAAAGAGTGCATATTCTCACCTGCTGGTGCATTGCTTTCCCTTAGGGTTTGTTTTTCATTCTGGAGTCTCTGTGAATTTGCAAAAAAAAAATTAAAAAAATAAATAAAGATTAAAAATTAAATACAACTAAAGGCACTGTTTTCAATACTGTTAAAACGATGGACACTAAGACATATGCCTAGAATATACCTTTATAGCAGAAAACTTCATGCTGTACAAGAGGTGCCGGGGGAGTCCAAGGGCCAATAACTGAGCAATGACTGTCTATTGTTTTATTAAGACACCCATGCCAAGGAAGTTTTCAAATGGGAAGCATGATATGTTATCAAGGACACCATACTTTTTGGCACCTTGTCTGAAGGTGCACCAAACCAATCCAGGCATGTTGTATGTCACATGTTCTTTTCCATAAAGCTTGCTGCAGTGATCAAAGAGAACCAATATTAACCACTATAGCGTGCTAGCTACATTGTGAACTGAACTAGCAAAATACTAGTTCGGACAAACAAAATAATTTACACAACCTATATACATTATAATATATTATTATACAAGTTATACTTAGTCCATCTAGATGTAAAGCTTTGGCTAACTACTGTAAGTAGGTAATTACATTTCTACATGTAACGTTACTAGCAACGTGTCCTAACAAAGGCAAAACAGCATGTGTTAGCTGCCAACGTTAGCCACTCTAGCAACAGGACTAGCAGCGTACTGCAAGAACAAAGATGACTAAGTTAGCATATTTTAAAAAGATAAAATAAAACCAATGTAAACATAATATTGCGTTACAAAAAAAGGAAACATATACTTACTTATACGACGGTAGTCGATGACTTTGCTAGCAAGCAAACTGTGGGCTGTAGTACTTCCACTTCGGCAATCTTCTTCTTCTCTTGATTATTGTCGGATAATTGCAACCAACTTTTAGGTGCATACCGCCACCTACTGTACACGAGTTTGTAACTTCATGCTATGTTCTAACCATAGACCGTAAATAAAAGGTTTTTACTGCGGCAAACTGATATTGTTAGGGGCTCAGTGGCTTCAGTGTGTAATCGAGCCCCCGTTTACCCCCAAAAAAAAAAAAAAAACATGAACACAGCAAAACTGTCAATTCAGTAGGCTACTTCACAGTTCACAAATATAAACATTTAGATTGTGAATGTTAATTAACTATTTTGCTATTTTGTGAATAGCAAAATTATAGCTAGAACACATTTGTTTTAGCTATAGATTTTCTATGCACAAAATAGTGAATTACCATTCACAATCTAAATGGTTCTATTTTTTAATTGCCTTTAAAATAAATAATAAAATAATAATAAAAATATCTTCTAAATTGTCCATACCACGAATGAAATATATTTTGTAAAACCTAATCAGAAAGATATTTATTGCCAAATAAGTTTTATTGACAAATTATTTTTGGTTAATTGGTGTCTCAAATATGCATCAATCAAAGAAATGTAAATATTTTTTACCTGCATAAAATAATTACATATATTTTACATAGCCTATTTAATTTAAACGTAATTTCCTTGACCTTATAATGGAATCAAGAGTCAAGAATCTGTTATAGCCTAAACCCATGGAGCAAAACAATAGTAAGCCATGGCTGGTCGATTTTGAGTGTTGAAATCCTTGTATTTCAAAGCGGCTTGCCGCCAGCGGTCCATGAGACGGAGGCAACCTCCAGTGAAAATGAAGCAGGCGGCCCGCCAGCTATTCGCCGGCGGCATATCGCAAAAAATGGGAGTGACCGTCAGTGACGTATTCGGCGGCAAACGTTTCATCGCCGCCAGCGGGACGCACCTATAGCCGACAGCGTCGGGCCGGCGGCAAAAAGAAGCCGTGCGGATATTTTTTGCTATCTGGGGTGCTCTCGTAGAAAACAAATCTGAATGGTGTTCTATTATAACATCATTATGGTCAATTTTGGTGAGTTCACACTGAAAGCAAATAGAGCATCAAGTATGCTTCCATCGCGTCTAGTTAGGTGCTTGAACATTTTGAACCCATTTGCGAGTCCGCGTCACTTGCAAAAAAACAACAACACAATTTCTTTCTGGCATACTGTCACAGATTAGAAGAACACAGATGGGTGAGTATAAGCCAGGTTTATTGAGACAGGTGATTCAGGGTAAATAGCAGGTGAGTATTGTAGAGGAAGTTCAGTAAGTAGCTGGTAAACAGTCTGATAGCGTGTCTCTTATCTGGATCAGGAATGGAAGATGGATGGGCTGCAGCAGCGGACGGGTGACCAGGAGAAGACCGGGGACAGGAGCAGATGAGGAGCGGATGAAACTCGGAGTCAGCAGGTAAGTAATCCAATACAAAGGTAGAGTGAAGCGGGAGTCTGTAGTCGTAGTGTAGACGAGACCAGACGGTGAGTGACTGTGAGAGGTGAATCTTTATAGGGAGAATGATTGGCACGGTGATTGATGCGAGCAGGTGACGGTAATTAGTATTCTGGGGAGCTGGAACGAGTGGGCGGAGTGATGGTGTCTGGTGCTGACGCTGATGGATCCGTGACACATACGTTTCCATCATGTCTGAAATGAAAGATATTGCTGCTCTGTACTTGTTGTGGAAGTCCCAAATACGGAGGTAAGCATACGACGTAGCATTGTATATTTCAGGCAGGGTACCCACAAACTAGGGCTGGGCGATATGGCCTAAAAATAAAATCCCCGATTCTATTTTTTTTTATTCGATTTACGTTTTTTTTTTTTAGATTTTCCCTCCTACTTTAGGAAAGCAATAGCCTAAGTACAAATGGCAGACAATTTAAAGCAAATTTTGCTTTTATATTCAAAAGCAAGACAGATGTAACCGCCATTTCTGGAATGAATAATAAATAAATGAACACCCTCTTGGAATAAAAGTCCCAGCTGTGTTTTAAGTCACATTTTGTTGTCTAGACTAAAAGGAGACAAACATCCGACCCTACCCCATGATCAATTATTTGTTATTAAAGCATTAACACACAAACCACTGTTAATTTAACATAATAACAAGCAGCAACTGCGTGCATGGTCTGGCACGACCGAATGTGCGCTCTCTTAATAGCTTGTTTTCAAATGACGACACGCCACTGCGTTGCCATGGCGTGAAATACAAAAGGAGGGCAGGAAGTGATTTTTTGTACTTAGAAAAAGCACTATAACAGACTCAAAATGCCTGTGTTTTTAGTCATTTATGGTTACGTGAATCGATCAAACCACAAGGAGTTTTTATCGGATACCAAAAGTTGTTGTACATTGTTCATAATGCAAGAAATTGACCGAAAAACTCTGGAAAAACGCCTTGCAAACCTATGTCTGCGGTCGGGAGGAGCCGAATAGGGTAATGCTGGTGTGTGTAACGTTAGTGATCACTTCGTCAAAGGTGAGTTAATACAACTTAAGTGACTGTGTAACTTAGTGTAACATGTTACGTTTCAGAACTTTGTAAAGTCAAAGTATGTCTGTAAGACGAGATTGCTGTTGCTGATATCTACCGCCTCAATGGCTGGAAAATATTTCAATTCAGTTGAAAAATCGCTCCTCTTCGTAACGTAAGGATCACGTCCAACATATGTTTTTTTTTTTTTTTGTTTATTTCTTTCTTAGCGTGTAAAGTAGTACAATACGGACTTTCCTCCATCTCGCTGTCAATGAAGCTGACTGCACAATGAATCTTACATAATATGTACACTTTGTTATAATTCGAGGATTTTCCAGCATACAGAATGCAGCACTGAACAAAAAGTCCGTTTTGAGCGGTGAGGGGAGTCTATCTTAAATGTTTCTGATTGGCCACCATTGTGTTCGAGAAATCAACACACATGTCTGTGATTGGCTACATCGCTCAATGCTGCAAACGTGTTATAAATAGAAACTCTGGCCTGTAAATTGTTTCTATTTTGTTTTAGTTCTTCTTGTTGCTTTTCTGCAACAGATGAATATTAATCTATTTGTTTTTATATCTTTTATTCATAGATATTGAATAAAGGGAGTCCCGCGAATTCTCCCGCAATCCGCACACACAGAGTGAGCGCATTACCGCCCGCACTCGGCCATCAAATCTAGTCTCACGCCGCACTCTAATGCGTTGGCAGTGCATGTGTCTCAAGGGCCCGGCCCGACCCGAGGATAGTGACGGAAATATCGCCCCGACACGCTCGGGCAGAATAAGCTCTAGTGACAACAGCAATCTTCCACTCGAGTTAAAATTTTCCAAATTGCGCTGAAGATGTTCGCGGTAAATGCATCGCCTAATTCGCGATGCCCGGCACAAATGATGCTTCTATTCCCATCTTTGCATTGACTTTGTATGTAATCTACTCACGCAAATAATTAAATTCGCGTTGAGTGTGAACACACCAATGGTCTCAAACAACTATTGTTTAAATATTGTGTTTTTAACTATGTAGTAGTAATACTGTTGATAATATCTTTTTTATTTTATATAATTTAAAGCAGATGTAGATCTGTCAAGCAGTGCAAGGGACAGAGACGTTTCTACCTCAGGGTCCAGAGTAGAGACTGAAACAGGAGAGAAGGATACAGAAAGAGTAGGGACTGAAACAGAAGAGAAGGATACAGAAAGAGTAGAGACTGAAACAGAAGAAAAGGATACAGAAAGAGTAGAGACTAAAACAGGAGAGAAGAATATGGAAGGAAACAGAAAAGAACACAAAGAGAATGAGAAAAGCTTTGATTACTTTTCCCGGCCCCAGTCCAAAGACCTCAGTTTATTTTTGCAGTTCCACCCCCAACAAACCCCAAAAAGAGCACTACCAAATATTTTTTACACAAAAGATGGGCTTAATCGTAAGTGGCTGACATATTGTGAAGCAAGTCATGCACTTTATTGCACTGTTTGCCTCACTTTTTCAAAGCCTACTGTATCAGAGAGTCCTTTTGTCCGAGGAGGCATGCAAGCCTGGAAGCATGTTCATCAGAGGATTGAGGAGCATGAAAAAAGTAAAGTGCATAGGGACTGTGCAGAGGCTTGTTTCCTGATGGCAAGTAAAGGAGACATTGTGAGCAGAATAAGTGGAAACCAGCTTTCATTACATCGACAACAAGTGA